ATGGGCCAAAACCTAATAGGTCGCATGCTTATGGCCCATTTTTAGTACTCATGAAGCGTGGTATTTCGTACTTTTTCCACTATTGAATTGAGGTGTATTACTTGTTAGGGAACCATTTGAAAATCACATTTCATAAATAACAAACTCATTAAAATATTTCAAAAATCAGGTTGTAAATAAATTTATTAAATATTAAAATATAATATAATATACATTAATTATTTCTACCCATGCCACCTCACTTACCGCATCATATCACCTCACTACACCACCTTCCCTCCGGAGACGGCCATTAGCTCGGCGACTTTTCGGTTGAGCTCCGGCGACTGTTCCGCGATAGCTCCGTCGGCTTAAAAATTTCCAGAAAATTAAAAATTGAAAATCACACCCCCACGCCATAGATCCACCTACCACCACCCACCCCTGCCTCCACTTTCTAAAAAAATTATCGAAAAAATTTCAAGTCACTTTATATAATCAAGTCGTTGACACATGTCATTCGTGACTAATTGTAACCAAGTTTGTATTCAATGTGACTAACCGTGATCAAATTTGTGTTCAATGTGACTGTCTGTAACCAATTCTTAATTGTGACCGTATATGATCAAGTCACAATCGATCACAATTAATACAAAATTGATCATAACGAATCATAATCTGTCACAATTAACACAAATGTTAGAAAATGCACTATATTACATTCACAAACTACCATGATTAGAAGACAAGTATTCTTGAAAAAGAGCAAGGGTCATTTTAGATCAAAATCTGCACTTTATAAAATTTTGAGATACACAAACAAGAATTTTCATGTTACATCGTTGAGAAATATAATGTCAAGATCTGATCACCTAAGAACAACATCGTTGTAAATCAGAATTTTCTCATCAACTGTTTCTTTTGCCATGTTTTAGGTACCTAATTATAACCCCAACACTTCGCCACTGCCTCCACCACCTTCGCCGCCAACAACAACCACCTGCACGATTATCTCATCCAACCACCAACACCACAACCGGACCGGACTTCACAGGAACCTGGATGCCCACCACTAACACACCAAACCGCCACATCAACACCATCGTTCTCACAGATACACCACCATCGCACAACAACATACCACCACGACACCATCACATATTTCATCTCATCACGACACCACCGCCCAAAAATAAAAATAAAAACCCACGACGCCATCGAACTACTACAGATTCACACTAGCATCATTACCGCGACACCACCACAGATTCACACCTATCGTCGGAACAACCATTACAAGAGACACCAGACAACCACATCAACACCACCGTTCTCACATATCCACCACCATTGCACAACAACATACCATCACGGTACCATCACATATTTCTTCCCACCGCGACACCACCGCACCACCACAGATTCACACCAATCGTCGAAGCAGCCACAAAACCAATACAAGAGAGAAGCACAAGAGAGTAAGAGAATATCGTAAAACAATGGCGGACCTTGGGGTTCTTCCATGACGGTGCCGCTTCAGATGTCATCGATGCAGATATACCATTTCAATCGTTATGATGGCAACGAGAGAAAGGATAGTTGCAGCGATGAGGCGACAACGGTTGTTTCGATTTAGGAGATGGTGCTAAGAGAGAATGGAAAGGAAAGCAGCGAGAGAGATGAGAAGTAGAGAGAGAACGAGTTTGGGGGAAATGAGGTGGGTGGAGGGAGGTATGGTTGATTTCTAAATTAATTGAATTTAATATCAATTAAAATATCTGATTTTTGAAAGATT